GGAAGAACATTTAAAGATCCTTTAAATTAATTATATCTACGACTTTTATAATCTCCCCACGTATAGGGGAATAAAGACATATTATAATTACTGGCCTATTATTTAAAAAGGAGGATCTGTAGCCTGTGTTTATAAAGATATACCTTAGAGTTATTACCAGGTGTTTTTAAGAGGAATAAACCTTACGCTGTTTAATAACATCCCTGTAATATATGTAGATAAGGGAAGGAAGGAATAAATATTAGTTTAATGTCCCTGTCTTTCTTACCTTATTTACCAGGACTTTAAAACCTGTAATTAGTATTACCAGTTCCATTAAGGAACGTATAAAAACAGCGTCTTTAAAAGTAACGTATAGCCACTTATCCCTGAGTTTAGGCGAATATACGTTATTAAAGCCTAAAAAGCTAATTAAAACCTGAAGAAAGATACTAGGTACTTTATATACTACGTCTAAGTAATCTATAAAGCTTACCCCCGAATCCGCCTGGGAAACGGATTTAGGCCCTTTGTTAAGGCCGGAAACCAGTGAACTACTGGTTAGTAAAAGCCATAAGATAAAGAAGAGGTACTTATCGGTTAAGTTAAAGAAGACCTTTTAATAACAGAACTATTATAATAACCCACCTTAAGGAAAAAAGAAATTATTAGTTTGTTTATGTAGACGTAACGGATAGGTTTAGGAAACCATTCCACGCATAAGTAATAATTAATAACGGTAGCGCTGCTAATATTATTGACCTTAAGCTGGTTAATAAGAAATAACTCCTTTACTGAAAACAAGTGTAAAAAACAATAATCCGCTTTAAAGAAGGAGAACTTTACGCTTATAATAACGGGAAACTTACTTATAAGGCACCACTTTTAATTATAGTAGACGGTAATAAATAATAAGTGACCTTTAACATCTTACTAATCTTTAATTACAATATAATCCTAGGTAAGCCATAGTTAAAGAAATATAACCCTATGATTAATTAGAACGCTAGCCAGTTAAGTTTTAGCTGATAAGAAGAATCTAAGGATTTAGGCTTTAGTAGCCGGATTATATTAATTAGTATATTGAACAGGTGCGGTGATGCACCATAAGACTCAGGGCACAAAAGAATAGAACCACCCCCAAGAACGCCGATGGCGGCCAGTATGGCCGCCAGTAAGGTAGCTCCTTCTCCGATCGAAGGAGCACGCGTGGGACTGACGTGTGAAAACAAGGACTGACCTGGAGGGAAGCACGTAACCAAGTAGGGATAACCGAGTAAGAACAACCAAGTAGGAACAACCAAGTAGGAATAACTAAGTAGGAATAACTAAGAAAAGGGACCGGGGACTACTACTTCTTCCTCCGATTAAAGGGAGGAGAGGTCACTTAAGCCATTCACAGGTGTAACTTGTGGTGAAATCGCCGATGTCGTCTTTTTTTCTCCTTTTGTTCGCCTGCCTGGAGAAGAAACGCGGTTCGAAGAACCGCGCGGCGCGGCCTTGACGGCGCGCACCAAAACTTCGCTAATTACAAAATGGTTACAGTGATATGCACACAAAAAAACACCCAAAAAAACCACAAGGGGCGATCGGAACGATCGCCCCGAGTCAATATTATAAGGGTATACTAAACAGTATAATATAAGTGTTAAACTAGATAGCGTACCTGTTAAGGACGACCTGAAGAACGCTAAGATCGATAAACTATTTTTACTGTGGATACGGTTTTATAAGACGGACGATCTGTATAATTTAGCTTATAAATCTGGTGACGACTAGAAGGTGCAGTTACGTTAATAATTATTAAGGAAGACGGTAAGATAACAAGATGCCTAGCTGTAATAACAGGCTCCAGATAACCTGTTTAAAGTTTTAAAGGAATATTAGAAGTATTTAGTGTTTAGAGAGAAGCTGTTACATTTGCCGGATTACAGACCTTTTGATTATAAGATTAAACTGAAGTTAGGGGTTTAGTTGAAATCCTTTTTAATATACCACTTTAACCCTTGGTAAGCCGAGGCCCTCCAGAAGTATATTAAAGAAAACCTTACCCTAGGATTTATCTAGAAATCCTAATCACCGGCAGGTTACCTAATATTATTTGTACTTAAAAAAGACGGTAAATTACGTATAATAATCGATTACCGTTTATTAAACAAAGTTATTATTAAGAATTAATACCCGCTACCTTTAATTAATAAGTTTAAAAAAAGGATCACTAAGGTAGATCAGTTCTCCTTGTTCAACTCTTTAAACGCATTCGGTTATAAACAAATCACCGTAAAAGATAAATAAAAGATTATATTCCAAACACACCTAAGTTATTACAAATATCAGGTGATACCTTTTAAACTTATTAACACCCTTATAACGTACTAAAGTATAATCGATTACGTTCTCCACCCCTTTATCGATAAGTTTATATTTATTTACCTTAATAATATCTTTATTTACTTAAAAGGAGATAAAAAATATTATAAATATATCTATCTTATCCTCTCCGCCCTAGAAAAGGCCAACTTAACAGTAAACCCTAATAAAAGCTAATTCCACGTCTAGGAACTCGACTTCCTAGGATTTAAAATCTCACCCAGAAAGATAAAGATGTAAAAGTTAAAGGTTAAAGCAGTTACAAACTGGTTAACACTTACCTTATAAATAAGAGTTTAAGCTTTTATTAACTTTATAAACTTCTATTAACGGTTTATATAACACTTCGCTAAGATTACTAAGCCGCTTTATAAACTCACGGGTAAAGGAAAGCCATTTATATAAACCGAACGATATTAAAAGGCGTTTAATAAATTAAAACGTACCTTTATTACCGCATTAGTATTAACACTTCCCGACTTTTTAAAACCTTTCTAAATTAAAACCAACACCTCTAACTATACTTATAAAGAAGTGCTAAGCCAAATAAGTAATAACAGATTTTAACACCCCGTGGCCTTCCTTTTAAAAGGGATCTATAAACCAGTACTAAAATACCCCATCTATGATAAAGAATTAATAGCCATTATCTAATGTTTCACAGAATAAACTCCTTACCTTAATGGCATAAAGGAACCAGTCAAGGTCCTATCTGACTATAACAACCTACACTATTTCCTAATAAAGAAACTCAGTCCCCGGTAAATAAGATAGGCTAAGTTAATAATACTATTCTATTTTAAGATCCACTACGTTAAAGGAATGGAAAACGGAAAAGCTAACGCCTTTAACTATCACCATAACCACCAGGAGAACATTAAAGACCTTAAACCAGTTATAATATTTATTTTAACAGCCGATAAAACCCTGGAATATACACTATAAGTCTTAAACGACTAGATACCAAAAGAGGCATAGGTTTTTATAAACTAATACCCAGACTAGGAAGTTAACGATAATATTTAACTCTTTACTAACTCTTACTAAAAATACCGTGTTAAATGGCAATAAGATAACTATCAGGTAAAAAGGCAGGACTTCCCCAGGTACTGTAGCACCTCCTATTAAGTTAAAGGACTTTACCCAGACTATAAAAAAGCCAACAAATTATTAAAAGAAATAGAAAAAAGACCCCGATCAAGTGATCTCCTCTTTTATAAAGGGAAACCCTACATTTACACACCCTTAAAACGGAAGAAGTACATTTAATAAATACATAGAGTAAAAATTAAAGGATATATAGGAAAAGTGAAAACGCTTTTATAAGTATAATAAAAATACGCCTTCCTAGGAATGAAAAAACTGGTAAAAGAGGTTATCAATAACTACGATATCTGTAACCGAATAAAAACACGCAGATATAAGCCTTACAGGCTTCTCGAACCACTTCTAACCCCCCGTGTATTATAGAGTTCCATTTCAATAGACTTTATCACTGGGATCCCCGACTTTAAGGATCCAGTAATAAACGTTAGCTACAACTTTATCTGGGTAATCATCGACAGACTGATAAAATAGGTATATTTTTTACCATACTTAAAACGAACGATAACCGAACAACTTACTTACCTTTTTAAGTGGTATATCATCTCTTAACACCTTTAACCTAACGATATCGTTTCTAATTAAGATAAGCTGTTTATCTTTAAATTCTAGTAAGGATTAATGTAATAAATAGGTGTAAAGAGCAAACTGTTAACAGCCTTTTACCCCCAGACCGACGGATAAACAGAGCGCTTAAATCAAACCCTTAAAACATACCTCTAAACGTTTATTAACTTTAAATAAAATAACTGGTTTAAGCTGTTACTAATAGTACAGATAACCTATAATACTATTATCGTTAAGTTAACTAAGATCTCCCTATTCTTCACACTTTTCAGCCGGGAACCGGAGCTCCACAAGGGGCCACCTATAAATACACCCCGAACCACCGTCCAAGCCAACCGGCTTTAAGAGCTGCACGACCACTTAAAGGCCGAACTTAAATTCACCCGCAAATAAATAAAAGGATATTATAATAATAAAAAAGCTAAAGGACTAACTCTCCAGGAGGGAGACCTAGTCTACCTTTTTTCGTGAAATTTACACACCTAACGGCTAAGCTGTAAACTTAACTTTAAAAAACTCAGACCGTTCCTCGTTAAAAGGAAGATCGCTACCTTTAATTACAAACTCGACTTACCCACTTTTATAAAGGTATGGACTAAGGTTTTTCACATTTCCCTCTTTAAGCCAGCACTAAGGAATATCCCGTTTAAAAAGAAAATCGAAATACACGCCGATAAAGAAGACTTTAATATCGAAGAAATCCTAGATTTATAATATTATAAAGGTAAACTTTATTATCTTATCAAATAGTTAAATTACAGCCTTAAGTTAAACTTTTAAAAGCCAGTTAATAATCTCTTTTACCCTAAATTAATTAAAAAATTCCACCGTAAAAATCCAGATTAACCATAACTAGTAAAAAGACACCACCTTTAAAGGACCACAGCGTAAAAGGCATTATAATAATATTATTAACTATATAAAAAAAACCGCTTAATTTACGGTTTCACCTGGTAAAAGAAACAGTAAGTTAAAGGTAATGGCCTATATAGGATTTAAACCCACGACCTCTTACTAAAAAACCCTTATGAATAAGTCTAGATTATTTATAAAAGATAACGCAAAACAAGCGCACTAACCCCTACGCTAACAGACCATTTTATTATTAAAACTCACCTTTATTACTATAACCCTTAGCCCTAATAACTAGCTTACTTTCCCCAGAGTGGATCTAGACAACTATTAACACTAAACCAAAGCTAAAAGAAGTGATAACCTACCTTAAAAAGTAATTACCGCCAGTAACGGCGACCCCGTAGCTATGTTACCATTTAAAAAGGTACCCCAGTTAAACGATTTAATTATCACCTCGGGGGAGAAACTAGTTTACACCTCTTTAGCCTCTAAGGACTAGATTACTTTTAAATCCTTGCCAAACGCAGTATAAGCTTTGTTATTAATCACTTTTAATTATCGCTTAAGTCGTTACACCTTAGAAAAAGCAGCGGCTAAAGATCTTTAAGCAGCAGTTATTTTATCCGACGCCTCGCTCTGGGCCTTATCTAATTTCTCCTTTTAAAAAATCAGTTTCTGTTAAAAATCTGTACTGTTCCTAAAGGCGTTGTAATAAACGTTTACAGATTAGTAAGTAAAGCAGGAATCGGAGTTAGATAATATAAGGCATTTACACTAGGATTATTTACACTAAGTGCAGGGAGATATCTCTTGGCCAAACATAAAAATATAAGTTATAAAGTCCTTACGATGATCAGTAGAAGAAGACCTACACTTATTAATACGGTAACAAAGTATGGTGAAATCGTTGGAAGGAAGAACTTACGGTTGTAATTCTTTGTGGAAAAAGAAATTAAAAAAGGGGGATCGTGTGATAACCTACGGGCCACCTTTATGGCCGGAACGGACTGATGTATCCCCACAGGTGCCACAGTACAGAGCACCGTGTAATAACCACTTAACACTGTGTGATTTATACTAAGGAATCCGCTTTATCACAGATTAAGCGGAGACCTATAAAGCACTTACTCTGTGATCTGTAAACACTAAGGGACAGAGTAACAGATTAAGGTATAAGTTACATCTCTACTAATTAGTATAGATAGCTATTATTATACTTACAATAATAGGAGGAACCTTTTATTCCTTACACAAGTATTCGCTTATTAATTAAACCACCTTTAATTATATCCTACTGCACTAACATTTAGAGTGTTACTCTGTCTTATAGTGATATATAACTATTATTAACTAGTGAACCCCCATCTGTAAGGACTTACCTCTACACTACTCCTCTCTGCCCACCCATCCTATCTAGCGACCCTGCTGACCGTCTGTCGACAGGCCAGAGGTTGTAACACTCTTAGGTCTTACGGTTATAGGAACAGAACTTTGCTAATTTCTTAGACTAGACGGCGCTTAACATATTCTACTTCTATAAGACGAGAGAATCACTAACAGTAGCCCAGGTTAGTGGCTCCTAATATGTGAAGTAATCGTATTAACAGATAGTGATAGGACTTAGTTAGGCGATGGAAAATAAACGGCCCTTATCAATGTCTTATCACGCCTTCTTCAGTTAAAAGCTACCTACTGCCTGGTCTTTGCTTAAGCTATTTAGCAGAACTCCCTTAAACACACTTTAAACTTATTAAGTTTACGTCCTATAACCCCAAGTACGATAAAGTAAGCGATGTTCTCCACCGGATACACTAAGGCTGTACCGTTAAAGGTACCTATACTGTGCCGCTCGAGACAGTCCATACCTACACAGAGCAAGCCGAGCTGTCTACAGAAATCGAGTAAAAGATGAAGATACGACATACGAAAGGAAGCGTCCCCTATACCGTTACCCTTTACGGATTAAGTGGGGCTGGTAAATCCTAGCTAGCGCTAGCTTACGCTGAGAAGTATAAAGATCGATATAACCCTATCCTTTAGATCGACGTGACAGATAAGGAGGTAGTGCGATCTAACTTCAGACGATGTGCTGCCGAGCTTAGGCTTCCGGAGGAGCATACCGAGAAGCAGCAGTCCGTTCTTACAGATAAAGTCGTACAAGTAATACTCCAATGGCTTCGCGACAAAACAAAGGCAGATAACAAATAGCTAGTAATTATCGATATTACAGACGATATCACCTAAGGGATCTAAAAGATTATGCTAAAGGGGAATCAGGAATACGTTATTATAATTAGTCGAGACAGTAAAAGTGTAGGGCTTGTCCCAGGGGCCTGTAAGCGGGTATACGTTAGCGTTATGTTACCGGTAAAAAGAGTGGCACTTCTCCTTTAACACCTACAGCCCGGTGTAGAGTTGGCTTTAGAAGGGATCTGAAGCGACTACGATAAAGTAACGTAACGACTTGGATATCTAGCGTTTGCCATCGACCTCACTGGCACCTACATTGGTAACGACTTTACACCTAAATATACCTTATCGTAATATCTTACAGATTACGACAGACACTATAATAAGCTCCTACAGATAGACAGCTTTTAGGGGCTGTTATTAACACAGAAGACAGTATGGACAGTGTGGGATACTACCCTTGAGAAGATTAAGAGAGAGTATTCGCGTTTACAGCCCGAGCTACTACTAACGTTCTTAACGCAGTTTAAAGGCAGTATTATACAGGATAAATTATTCCATCTAACGTATCTTAGTATGGTAAAGGTCGACGCTAAGCTAGACGGTAAAGATGACGAGGTCATACCGGCCGGTCTCCGGCAATTTCTGCCACTTAACAAGGGTGAATGGGATAGTTTCCAGTACCAGTAAAGTCACAATATGCTGGTCCACTACAGCCTGCTGCAGCAAGTGGAGGGGCAGTGGCCTGGGGTGACCATATATAGTCTTATGCAGTGGCGAGTAATGTAGAACGAGCCAGATCGATAGTGGTACTGGCGGTATATAACGTTTATTCTGGCGGCGTACTGTCAAATGATAGGAGGAAAGGAGTAGCCTGAGTTCTACTAACATCTAATAGTGTATCTTCCAGATATACGTGAAAACGATGCCGAAGATAGAGACTGGAGAAGACATAAGGGTTTTATAGGATTTACACTTAATCGTATTTACTACGACGAAGGATGGTGGGAGGAGGCCGAGAAGTTGTTTATGCAGGTGATGGAGACTTGTAAGACTAAGCTTAGGGCTGATCACCCAGATACGCTAATAAGTATGGGCAACCTAACGTCGATATTTTGGAACTAAGGCCGGTAGTTAGAGGCTGAGAAGCTGTTAGTACAGGTGATAGAGACTTTTAAGACTAAGTTTAAGGCCGATTACCCTTTTACACTAATGAGTATAGGTAACCTAACGTTAATATACAGGAACTAGGGCTGGTGGTTAGAGGCTGAGAAGTTAGAGGTGTAGGTGATGGAGATAAGTAAGACTAAGCTTGGGGCCGATTACCTAGACACACTAACAAGTATAGCTAACCTGGCTTTTACTTAGAAAAGTCAGGGCTGGCACGTAAAGGCCTTAGCTCTGATGGAAGACTGTGCCCGGTCTTAGCAGTGAGTCTTTGGTCTGAAGTATTTAGACACGCTGTCGTGTTTGGCCGCTGTGGATGAATGGAGGAGCAAGGACGTTTCGAACCCCAATCTGGTTAAAACGCGTAATATGTAGTTAACCGTTTGTCATAGGTATGCTGCTTAACTTTATGTGGCTTGTGTCATCTTAGTCAGCAAAGTCAGCTAACCTTTGCATTATGGTGGCCCATGCTTTGGATTTGGAACGAAGAAGCCAGTTTTGGTGGAGTGCCAGTACAAAGTGTCGGAAACGCGCACTGTATGAGTCACTGTGGGCCACGGAACTGGCCCTTCTCAGAACATTTCAACATTGAAACCCTGGACACTCATTTCGGTCTCTACTGTAATTACTTCTATTATGTAGTAGTTGCTGTTTTGTCTGACACCTCAATCTTGGACGGCCTGTACTTTTGTCGCTCAAAGCTTGCCGGCGTTCTTCTAACTGGCAAAGGGTAAGTTTTCTCCTGTTTAAAGTAAGTATTTGGCAGACTTTGGGCTCTGGTATCCATACAAGTTCTATAGGCGGTGTTGGGAAAGAGGTATCCTGAGTGGAACAGTAATTGTAGTAGCGACCTTTACAACGCAATACAATGTAAATATCAGCTCCATAACGACGGCTCATTTCGTCACCCCGGTGCATGATATTTTTGGTTGCTCTTAGAAAATTCTCATTAGTTCTGTTTCGCTTGGGGCTGGGATTTATCGGTTCAGTCATCTTTGCGTGGTGAGAATAGAATACTGCTTGAAGGGATAGGATGGATGTGGCTTTATACTGTCAGAGGCATCAAAGAATCACAGAGGCCATGGTGTTCTATTTTTAGATGCAAAATGACACCGCACTATTCGGAGCCGTGGAACCCAAAGCCCAACATCTGAAGCCACTTCCTTGGCTACCGGGATCCCGGCTTTGGGCCACAAACTACGCTGACATTCCAGCTCCAGGCCACAGGCACCGAGACCCGGGTCCACGGTGACCATCCGTTCCGCCGGGCATTTACTACACTACAGCTAGGAGCGAAATCAGCGTCCGGTCTTACACTCTTTAATGTGTTTGGGCACGGACCACATGCACTTTGGATACATCCAGGCACATCCTCAACGCCAAGAGTAGCTGACATTCGCGTGCTTTCAGGGCGCTGACATTCCCAAAACAAGTACCCTAAAGTAACCCAAAGTAAGAGCTTTTGCGCTGCGCACGTGATTTCTTCCACAGTGCAGTGACACCGGCATGTTCAGCAGGTGCCTCAAATTTAGCATTTCTCCTCTTCGCCAAAACCAGTTTACCTCTGTCACGTCACCTTCTTTTCATTTCATCTCCCACAAAGGTATTTTCCAAATTGCCATTCAACTTAAGGGACATCGCTAAGAGCACCAACGAGACAGCAATCATGATGCTTCGAGCACGTGCAGTCGGTGCCAGCCGTCAGGCGCGAACGCCACCAAAATTGCCTGATGTGCGGGGTTAGGCATTCTGATAGCGAAACGCGTTAAGCCCGACGTCGACCAAAACAACGGCATCGCGGGTCAAGGTACGATCGGGTCACTATGGTGTACGCTGCGCGCCTCGATTGCCGATAGTAAGTGGTATTTCTTGCTCTCCTCGGGA